AAGCCAGCAATAAGTTGCCCCATCACTTTCCCCTTCGACATCTTCTTCAATATAACAACCATTGCAGGTTCAATATAATTACTACACTCTATGCATAATGGGAGTAAGTGAGCTCAGGGCTTTGAAATCTTTGAAGAAGTTGATTCTATAACTTTTGTTGTGTCTTTGCCATAATACATCGGAAGTGCAAGTGCAACCCATTTATAATGTCACTCTGAATAAAAAGGACACTCGTATATAAAGGACTACGGAATAAAGGACACTCGTAAAGGGCCACTGAATAAAGGACACTTTTCATGTCCCCAAGGTCTCCCTTAATTTGAGTTCTTTTTCAGAGGTTTGACTGTCAGGGCTTGCTGTAGATACCTTCTCCTATGTTTCACAGATGTGTTTCATGTTGATACAAACCAAGAGCTCAGTCAGGGCGATGGCATCGATGATGAAGGAGGCGGACTCTACAAACTCCTCTTTGACTCGTGCCAGAAGCGATTCTGTTTCGACGTCAGTCGGACGGATCCAACAAGTGGAGACCGTGGAAGGTTTGAGATGACTGTTACCAGGACACCAGACCACGGCCGGACCACCGAGATTGTTTCAAACATGGGATATATCGAAATTCGTTAACGCTAGTAAAAGACTGTACTGAATGAATAACTTTATACTATAGAGAGAGAGCTGTGTATTCCCCCATTAATTAAGTGTACTCTAATTGGTGAAATTTTGATATGATGTGATCTATTTTGCTTGACGCACAGCTCAATAATGCAAATTGTTTAAAATTGGTGAGCAAAGTACGTGCCATATGCGCAATCACCGTGATCACTGGGTCTATGCATGTGCAGAAACAGTGCCATAGATATGTGGGTGTTGTGGTGTAGAGTGTTTCTCTGTTACTGGAAAGCAATTCTGACGGTGGGTCTACAGAGTCCGCTACATGAGTCGGGGAAAAGAGACGCGTGTGGCTGGTTGGAGTCTTCTGTTAGACGGCCAGCTGAGATTGTGTGTGAGGAGACAGAAAGAAGGAGCTATTATCAAGCCGGGTAACCTACAAATATACGATGCACTAATAAACGGCGCAGTTTGGGACAACAGAGGTGTCCTTAGCACTGCGTCGAAAAGCATTGTCCTTTTAGCGGTATCCTTTATTCTGAGAAAAGGATTACCATCAACTAGTAGTGTGAGTATTATATCAGGTTTAAGAGTGTTGTAAGGCAGGCACGTATATAACTTTAGTGTTAATAGTAGCAATAATATTGTTGTAGGTACTATTCATGAAAAGGCATGGGATTTGTTCTTTAACTCACTGTTGTTGGTATGGGGGCTGCTGATGGCGGAGCAATGGTTGAATCATGTGATCTCTGATTTCTGGATGATGTCGACGATGACGATGTAATGGTGGGAATTCCCCTCCAAGATGGAGACGTTCTGGTACTTGTGGTAGCAAGTCATGTCCCCCTCCTGTCATAAATACAGCAAAAAACAATCGAAGGACTTAACAATTTGACAGAGGCAAAAAGGTTTACTGTAAAGATTGAGAGGGGAGGGGATTCAGTGGCAAGCTAGAATTTCACGACTCCTTTTTCTTGTTGCCCAGTCGAGAAGAGATAGGACACAATATATATACACAGAGTTCTCTCCTTCACGAGTTTCCCACAGCTATAGACAACAGACCTATCATGAGTGGGAAGGGGTGTGGTGGAGGAGGAGTGAAGAGAGGGAGAGGATCGGGAGGGACGAGGGGAAAGATGAGAGAGGAGTGCTGAGTCAGCCTCTCTCTCTCAACGGCCTTCTTGAAACGTTCAATGTACAGCTGTTGAGCGGAAGAGAGTCGCAAGTATATAAAACAAACTCATGAAACCGTGGAACCTCATATATTTTAAAGTCGGCTGCCTTTCCTTCATGCTGCCAATGTTGCTCTCTTATTTCTACAACCACTACACCAAAAGATCTTCAGATTCTTAACACGGTACTCCAGTGTTTGCATTAACGAGGTTCCACCATATTATAGCTATACATTACCTGTTTCCAAGCATGATTGCTCTGACTGGCAGGCAGCACTAATAATGAGAGAGATTGTACACATCATTACCACACAAACAGATGATGCTTAATGCAGAGGGACATTTTTGAGAAGCTGCAAAATTTTCAGATGCATCTTCAGTTCAACAAAATTTCGTGACAATTTTCACAATTTTCTCTATAAACATCCCGCTGTGTTGCTGAACTGTATTCTTGCACTCACTGTGTCTTTGTCCAAAGTCTCGCAGAAGCAAGTGTTTCCAGAGATACGGATCTTGGCAGAGAGCGTGCAGCTCCTTGCTGGCTGCTGACAAAGCAAGTAGACTCTTCAGGTCTAGTGTTCTGCACACTAGCAACTTTAGTTCAGGAAAGAGACTGGAGAATGTTCCAACCTCTGGTAGACCTAACACTTGAAAGCAAAAACACACATCAATAATTCTGCTATATAACCCACACCAAAACCCTTGCTCCTTAAGCTATATACCTGTCCTGATGTTTGTAAGGAGTCTGTGTGTGACTTGGTCCTTGAAGACCACTGCCAGTTCAGCCGGTTTCAGCAGGATCCATAAACCTGTTTTCGTGTCCCTGCCAACGTGAGTGGATACTTGCAGAGACAAAGAAACTGTAACTTTCTCTTCCTTGATTTTTGCCATCCCTAAGAGAGAATGAGTGTGTTAAATGATTAGAGATGTGGGTGGAGCCTCTCACCGTGGACACTGAGGAGATGACCCATTTTCAAACAGGCCAGATGAACTCTGATCTCATCATTGACGGGTGTATTGTAGCTCCATTTTGCTGAGGTGTCATTGAGAAGATGGCCATTCTATAAAAGAAGAGAGAAGTAAAATCTCCCCTGGTGCTCACAGACACACCTCAACAGGGGTGAATCCTGCATCTAGCATCAGACTGTGCAGAGCAGTACACAGTGTAGCAGTCTGAGTGAGATGTGGCAGTGAGGTATCCTTCTCTGGAACCAATCTCAGGAGGGACTGACAGAAATCCTGGTAGTGGCTCATAGTGTCTGGCATCAGTTGACACTCTGGCTCAGACATAGTAGTCTCATCCGAGGACCGCTGCATCTTCATGTCACCCTCCTTCTCTTGGGGTAGGTTTTCCTCTTGATGTGGGCTAGGTTGGAAATTATCCCTTGCTAGCACATGGGAAGGTAGGTCTGCCTGATCATCGTTTTCGTCTCGGCACAGAACGTGCAGAAGATCTCCGCTGACAATGCCGAGCTCAGCCAGAGAGCGAGTCTCCTCCAAGGCATCGGTTCCGTTCAGAGACAACTCACATGTTCCTCTGAGTAACAAGTACGTACGAAGTCGTCACTCAGCGATATCAGGTTACTCTTTCCTTACCGAGCTAGTCCGCTCTCCGTGATGTGCTGCCTCACTGACTGGAGAGAGGACTGCGCAGTGGTCTGTGGTAACACTACGGAGAGACGTCGAGAGCCGAGCTTCAGTCGCAGCTTCATCGTCAGCACAGTGACGCGCTTCGACCACGCCTACCAGATCGTAAAACCGTTGCGCACGCGCATAATGTGCCGTGTCTCTTGCGCATGCGTACGCGTATATAGCGCAGGACAGTGCGGAAAGCGATCATATGCCAGTGCTGTAGTTGTCCAGAATGGCGTCAGTCAGAAACGGAGAGCTCATCGAACTAACGCCCTTGAAACAAAAGCCAGATCCCAGGAAGGTAAGCTTTTACAACCGCATTTGTGCTAACAATTTTGCACAGAGTCTAGCTACTTATCCGCTAGCTCACAATCATGTCGTATTGGCTATTGTGCAGTGTCTTCTGAGCCGACCAATTGCACCACGGCAGATAAGAACGTGTTTGGATACGCCAGGATTCTTAGAAAACGAATTCAAGGTAACTAGATAATAACTCCTTGGTCACCAACTGCAGAGTAAAGAGATTGCCTTGTCTTCGTGGTATGTCTCTGTGGTATTCTGTTCCATGGTTTCTGTTTATGAGGCAGAATATGAGACAGTATGATATTTGCATGCCTATAACCACGGTGCATATATACTCACGTATTCTTGCAGCAGCTCCCTGAAATAGCTGTGGAGGAAGATGAGTATCCATCGGAAACCGATCACAAGAACAGATACTGCAACATTCTGCCAAGTTAGTAGCTAATAGAGCTCTGCCTGCAGCTGCTTACACTAGCATTAACGGCATCAACTTCCTGTTAATTTATCATGAACTACATATTGTCAAACCAGCTCCAGATACGAGAGTGAGGCTGACTTCATCCACAGGAGACTCTAGCGATTACATCAATGCCAACATTGTGCGGGTACGTTCCATGGCAACCAAACACAACAAGCACCTATATAGTTTCATACTATTGGTGCCAAGTCAAGGTCTAGTATATAAATTATATAGAACCTGTAATCACGGAGGTATTAGCTATACCATTAGACTATGATAGGAGTTTGATCATCGGCCTTAGAGTCACCAACACATTAGGTGGGAGTGTTCTTTGTGATGTTGTTTAGACTATGATAGGAGTTTGTTTGAGGAGTGTTCTTTGTGATGTTGTCCACAGGGATTCAGAGAGGCCGGGGCTGCCTACATTGCAACACAGGGCCCTCTCCCACACACTGTGGCTCACTTCTGGAGAATGGTGTGGGAGAACAGATGTGACATCATCATCATGGCTTCTGATTGGACGGAGGACGGAGTAGTGAGTCGCATTAAGTTCTCCATTGCTTACTATTAAATGACCAAATATGATTTAGGGCCATACTAGAAAACAAACATGTTCCATAGCAAGCCTAATAGTTTCCCTTCATTGTCACTTGGTTGGGACTTATAATATGTGATACAATAATACTGTATGCTCCGATATTTAGAGAACAAACAAGTATCCTTGGTCCTAGCCAAAAAGGCTCCACTGTATATACAACCCCACAGGAGAGGAGTGCCCGCTACATACCCAGAGAAGAAGGTGATAGTATCAGCTTCAGCTGGTGTAAAGTAACTCTCAAAGAGAGCCTCACATTCAAGGACTACGTGTACTCTATTGTCATTCTGAGAGACTCTGAGACTAAGACGTGGCGCCAATTGAGGCACTATCGCATCACCTGCTGGCCGATGAAAGGCTTTCCCGCCAAGACTGAGAAATTGACTACCATCCTCAGGTCTTTATTTACCCTCGGCGCGCATGCGCAGCGAGGGTACTGTAGTTGGATCTGCCTCTGTCTGTGTTACTCTACATCTCACCTCTCGAATGTCTGTTCGTCCCAGAAACGATACCATCTACCCAACGGGCGACGAAGGTCAGGTTGCAGAGCTAGAGCGCTTCCAGCATTGTATGGCTAATGCCGTAGTCGCCATTTTATCGCATGCGCATGCGCATGCGCTTATATTTAGCACAAGTTCGACCGGGTCCGCTTGCTCTGTCTATCTTGAAGGCACAAGAAGTCACAGCGAATGGCGTGTATCGACTCTCGCGTGCTATCTACTACTGTAGCTAGCCCGTGTCAGACTCTCTGCGAGCTACTTCGCCGAGGGTTTGCACTTTATTTGCACTAAACAATCCACGGGTAATCCGAAAATTAATTAATAGAGAGATGAAAGGTTGGCAATTTTTCAACCTTATATATATTTTTGGCCTCAAACAGAAATAGGGCTGCCCATTTCCCCCCCACCTATTCCATGGAAATGGTGCATAACATGCTGTTCTTTTTGATGCATGGTCAAGACCATCAAATTTTGGTGGTGGCACACTTGTGTATGAGTTCCACATTTCTATAGAGTGTGCCGAGGGTTTGCACTTTAGTGCTTTTCATTTGTAAATAAAGGTACTATATTATATATAGACTATGTGAGCAAGTTTAGTCTTAATGATGAACCTCTGAATTAGTGGCACTTTGGAAGCATCTTTATTGGAGTGTAATGAGGATTAGAACAAGGAGAGATGTTTCCTTAATTTAGAGGGTCCTTGTTTCAGAGGTGTCACTGTAATTCTGCAAAGGTAACGTTGTTGACATTGTGTCCAGGACTGTGAAGTCGTGGGAGAGCGAGAGTCCGGTGGTGGTGCACTGCGCCTCTGGGGCCGGGAGGACAGGTGTCCTGCTAGCCATCGACATCGGCCTCCAGAGTCTTCTCGAGAGAGAACCTGTCATTGACGTCCTCAGAATAGTCAGTGCTCTGTGCCAGGACCGGAGCGCACTCATTCAAACACCTCAACAGTACCGTTTCATCAATCAGGTGTGCTTTTTCAAAGGTTTTATATATTTGTGTGGTGTTGTATACATTGCGAGGCAGAATCTCTATCTATCTATCTTTTGCAGGCTCTTGCAGATATGGTCAAAGATCTTGGGATTCGGCCGTAACCCTGTGCACATGTACAGAGGTATATACTGATGCACACACCTACCATGCTCCTACTAATTCGCACTTTCAACCTGTATTGAAGAAAATGATTTGGCATGCGCTGACATCTGCCGTATAGCTAAGTGAACTTCGTAATGGTACATAATTATACAAAAATCTTTCAGTTACACATTCAAAGAAGTTCCGCAGCTACAGGGAGTGAGCTGGAAGGATTTGCCCTGTGCATGATCCAAACCCTATCTTGTAGCCGTCACCGTGGCAAGCTCCTTTCAGTATCACTGTATCGTGATCCTTGGAATAGGGAGAAAGATGGGAGGGAGAGAGAGAGAGAGAGGTGAGGAGAGAGGTGAGAGTAGGGTTCAAACCTTGAGAAACTTTCTGGTCTCCCCGTTTGGTAGTGTGAGTTGTTTAGTTCCCTTCCAGGTCAGCTCCAGCAGCGACCCATATGAATCAGGAGTCTAGAACAATACCATACAGGGGGCTGGATAAAACTTGCTGAATCAGTATAATGACACAATAATTGCATAATAGAGTCTATATTATTATACCAATACCATACAGTGGAGTATATAAAGTAATGTAGCACCTTTTTGTGAACCCCCAGTATAAGGGAATTGCCAGCAAAAGTCATGGTGAAAGTCCATACTTACACTATACACAGATCAGTGGCAAAGAGAGAGAGAGAGAGAGAGAGAGAGGTATATACAGGGCAGACCTTTCCACTGATAGTCCCTGAGGCCAGCAGGTCTCCTGGTCTTAGATTACATCCAGTGACTGAGTGATGTGCCAGTTGCTGCTTTATTGTCCAGTACATGTACTGTGGGGCATAATAGAGCGGCACATTGAGAGGGAGGGAGGCAGAAAGAGCAAGGGAATATGTAGGAAATGGCAGAGAGAAGAAAGAGATAAGAAAACCTTGAAATTGCTTCTAGCGATGACCGCTGGTTCAGGTGTATCTTTGGCTACAAGAAGGTAAAAGAATGACAACATTTCATCAGCTACGGAGCACAAAAAGGCTTACTCTTCAGGTGTATTTCAAGGTCAATGTCGAAACTGAAAGGATCGGTGTGCTTTAAATAGGGTAGCACCTCCGGCTCTGACTGTTGCAATGCACAATAGAGATGTTACCACGGCGACCGATACACACAGACCTGGTCTGGATTTGGGAGGGCGAAGGGGAGGATGGCGTCGAGGGGAACCACCCAGGGGGAGATGGAGGTCCCCATGTTCTTCCCCAGGAATGGACCTAGAGGAACATACTCCCATTTCTGGGGTGAATAATACAACTTATAAAGAGAGGGGGGAGGAGGAGGGAGAGTTAACCTGGATATCTCTTGCACTCCAATCATTCATCAGAACCAGACCAAAGATGTGGTCCTGGGCCTGTGATATGGGAATGGGCTCTCCCATCTTGTTGCCGGGGCCAACAAAGAATGCCTTAATACAGAGGGAAAAAATCAAATTAAAACCAGTTGACACAGTATTGCTTCATTTTGCCATCACACCATCTCTAGTTCGATGTCCATTAGCTTGCACGGCCCAAACACCGGCGGCTTTTCTGAAGAAATAAAATCAAATTAAATAGGCGGAGAAGTGGGTGTGGCTTACTGTCATCTGGTCTGGTCTGCCCGTTGGGTCGTCTGATGGGGGTCCCTGAAATTACGACTGAAGAGGCGCGGCCATGGTAACCAACTGGAAGATGCAGCCTGGTATAATAACAACGAAGTTTAAAACACAGAAAAGGTGTGTGTTAGGGAAACGCCATTTATTCAAAGGCAGGAGGCGTGTAATGTGTTCTGACCAGTTTGGCATCAGGGCATTCTCTGGACCTCTGAACATTGTACCAACGTTCGTAGCATGCTCCCTCGAGGAATAGAAGTCAGTATAGTCTCCTGCAGCAGAGAGACAAGAAGACTGAGTCCTCAGGTGTGGGTCAGGCAATGAGGACCAACCTATTTCAGCTGGCAGGTGCATCGTCACTTCGGACGCTGGTATTAGAGCCCTGAGAGGTTTGCAACAGATTAAAAAAATTTGTGGCGTAGCAGTCACGTTTGGAATAACAATTTTATTAAATTTCTCTATAAAGTTTCAGGCCACACTATTCCCTCACCTTTTTCTCAGATCAGTATTGTCCCTCAAATCGGGCTGTTGAAAAGAATAGAATATTATAATAAAGAGTTCTTTTCCTCACAAAAGTACTAACAGTGTCTTTAGAGAGGATTCGCTGGAGGACTTGTCTGGCTTCATTCCAGGCGCGCGGCCCAGAGACATGAACCCATTCAGTGTCGCCTCCCCAAACACCTGTAACACATTGTACATAGTAAAACAAGTGGGGGTGGACCAGATCTACCTGAGCATTCTTGCTAAGTTCAGGACCAGTGAAAAACACAGGAGCCACTACTGATAGATCGAGTACATAGTCTCCAATGGCTACACCGATACGATGACGGTCCTGTACACACACACACACACACACACACACACACACACACACACACACACACACACACACACACACACACACACACACACACACACACACACACACACACAGAAAGAAATAGACAGATGAAGGGAGCTTGTAGAAGCCATACAACAACACACGACTCACGTTTCCAGCAGTTGAGAACACACCGTACGGCAGGTTTTGGATCGGAAAATCGCAGTCGGCGGAGTACTCCACGAACGACATCGTGCAAAACCTCTGAAAAAACCACTGTTTCACGCGATTTATGCAGCCAACGCGCATGCGCTACAACTCACGTGAACCACGCCTACTTTCTAATTGATGCCCACCATCAAGAGAATGACGATGACTCGAGCTTCGTACACCGTGGATTTCAAGCTGTGCGTGGTCGAGTGGGTAAAGAGCGGGGGGCGAAGCCTCCGCGAGGCCTCCAAGACGTTCGGAGTGGACCGCAAGTGCATCAGGCAGTGGGTACGAGAGAGCGGCAACCTTGGCTCGGCCAGAGTCAGGCAGGGACCGCAGACCCGCAAGCTGCACGGAGGGCGGGGTCCTCTGTCGGAGGAACTGGACAGACTGGTCCTGGGCTACCTGCTGGAGAGGAGGAGAGGCGGAGCGGATGTGGAGGACACAGAACTGAGACAGAGGGCAGTGGAGGGAGCAAGAGTCTTGGGCCTGGGAGAATTCAAGGCTTCTCCCTCGTGGCTGAGAGGGTGGAAGGCGAGGAACGGTGTTGGTGAGCCGAGACTGACAGGAGAGACTGCAGAGCTTCTGGCAAGACAGGCACCAGTAGGGTCTTCCCTAGTCTCCCATGTCAGACATTCTGACTCGGTGTTGCTGAGTCCAGCAGATCCTCGTGGAGTGGAGAATAGTTCCAGTGATGATGACAGGTGCCCTGCTAAAGGTGAACTCTTATCCAATCAGTCCACTGGGAGCAGTCACGTGATTAGTCACGTGATTACCCCAGACCATACCTACTCCTGCAAACCTTTGTCTGAAGTTGCGTCTCCTGCCAAACTTGCCCGCAGCAGCAATACTCTGTATACAAACACAACTTCTCATTCCTCGTACGTCAAACTATTCCACCTCCCGATGATGGGTGGGCATCTATTGGAATCATCAGAACAACTACTCTTGAGTGACTCCAGTCCACAGTATTCCAGTATGCAGAGTTTCCCATCGTGTGATCCAGTCATGAGCTGCACTCAAGTCGACCACTGCAGTGAACTAGACATCGCTGTTCCTCTTGAACCAGAAGTTCTCATCTCGGGACCTGACGTTGGAGGTCTCTCGTCCACCACCCCTCTCTCCTCCCTCTCTTCCCTCAGTCCTCCCAAGAGATCCACTCTCGACACACGTTTCCTTCTCTGGCCCTCCCTCGGTTGCACACAGACATCTCCAGTCACTTTTCCAGAGCTACACGACTTTGCAGACCCGCTCACTGGTCTACTTGCCAACAGACGGTCTGAACCGGTTTTTCCTGCCAGACCGGAAATACTCATGTCCAACTCTGAACTCAGCTAGAAACTCACACACGAGATTATGACTGAATCACATAATGTCAATTGCAAATAGCGAGGGCAAACAATGTGTCAAATAGTGATTGCCGTGAAAATTGAGCGTTGGTCTAAATATTTCATAGCTAATAAACACAGAGCTATGTATAACAACAAACTTAACTAAGAATGTGTGTGCTAGTCCCTAAGACCCCATGCAGTCACCTTCCTCTGAGCTTGCTGCATGACAATCATGCTGGTTCCATTTGCTATGAAACTCCTCAGAGTCCCTGGCCCTATTCCTCTGTAGAGAGCCAAGAAACCGCCCTTTTCTCTCACAATTCTTCTCATTCTCCTTAGCACTGGTTCCCTCTCTCCGTACCTTCCCTGGACTTGAGATTTCATGTACTCTAGTGGCCACACCACCCACCAGCCAAGAGTTGCAGCCACCCCGGACATCAGAAAAGGTCCGAGTATAGGCGAGGCAAAAAGCTCAGGGGTGTGTCTCCTCCCAGAGTCGACCAGAATGAAATACGTACACATGAGTCCAATGGTTCTGCACCAAGTCACTCCAAATCCGGTATAGACGTGCCGTAGTCTCCAGCTCTGTTGGGTCTGACCACTCACCTTGATGTACTCCAGTGGTGTCTCTATCACAGCTCTCGCAGAGGACGCAAAAATTCCACCCAGGACCACTCTCGTCTGTATCCCTCCCGAAAGTGGTATCTCGTAGCGACCGAAGCGGTTGTCGAAGAAGGTGTAGGCAGCTTCAAAGACGGCAAACTGTGTGGAGCGAAATATCCCAGAGCCAAGTAAAGGAGGAAGAGCCCCTCTATATAGGCCGCGGACTCCCTGTTTTTGGAGAGTAGTGGCAAAGGTTTTGATCATTCCGCCTGACTCGAAGCCTCTCTGTGCCTGCATCTTGGTCTTGATGGTGTCTATAGGGTGCCCCACTGCGACGCTGGTCGTGCCATACAGAACACCCACACCCAGCCCTGTGCACGGAGCAAACAATGGTCGATGAAAACTCGGTAAAGTCTGTAGCTATTCTAGCACCTTCACTATCTCGTAGATGGTTGGCTTCTCGGTTTAGCTATCTTGAGTCAACAAATCTGCACTACGTTCTACGGCTATAGCGACGTACGGGTAGCTCCATGCACTTACCTATAAGGCCTTCCTTCCACCATTGCGTCCGCTCCTGATTATGCGTCATGTTCTTCCAGACGATAGTAGTGTGCTGCACGGACCACACACCCTTGCCACGCCCACCTATATTTAGCCACACCCCGTATATTAGTTAGCCACGCCCATTCCAATGTAAAATTAAACGCTCCCATTCCCGCGGTTCGGAATTCGGACGGCAGACTAATTAGTCGCCGGAGGGAAGCTGCGCGAAGGTGTCGTCTCGAGGGGCACACAACTGCCCGAAGCTTTATTTGCGGCCGTCGCTCTCCTGTTCACAGATAACTCAAGTGTCCCCACCTCACGTCGGGTTAGCTGTTTTTCAACCTTTCGCGGTAAGTCCTCGTCTTCCTTCGTGTCTGTGTGGATGTGTTTTTGTGAGTGTGTACGCTTCAGTTCTTGTAGCTATTGGCTTGTACGAATTTGGGCAGTTGGCTGGCGGGCTATAGCTGCTTGCTACTACATGTAGCTAACGTACACATAGCTCTGGGCGACATATCTAGTTGTTGCTTGCATGCATGCTTGGCCACTGGGGTGTGTGTATACAACCGTTGTGTGTATACAACCGTCGTGTTTAGCTTGCGGACTCTCTGGGTTCATTCGGTCTCCAACGAATGCTTACCCAATGATAGAGCTTGTGTAGAGGACTGCTTCTCCGCGGTGTACTGTACGTAGGGACTGGCGGTAATATGGGGGGCGTGTTTGCGCGAAGAAGCTAGGGGTGGCAGCTCTTTCACGCTTCGTTGGTTTCTTGTAGTGGACGCTGTAGCTAGTGTTGGCTTGAACACGCCCCCTTCTCCCTCCCTCTCTTTCTCTATTTATTTTCCTCCCCTCGTCTTGTTCTCTCGGTGTTCTATTGTCTCTCCATCCAGGGGTTGTTGTTTCGTCTGTCCTGGTTGGCTGTTTGTACACAACAACAGTCTCCAGAGAAACACAACCTCAATTAACTATGACATAACTTCCTGTATATAGTGGAAATGACTGTATGTTGTAACCCAATTAATGCAGGGGTTGACTCAATGGCGATACCAATCCAGCTCGCCGGGCCCCACATGGCGGATTACTCGTCTCTCAACATGCACCCTGTGGGACTGGGTCAGATCCCGTTCCAGCACTCGCCAATCCAGCCCTCCATGTTGGCCAACTCAGCCAGCATCGATACCTGCACCAGCATCGTGCACTCGCTCATGTGCCACAGGCAGGGAGGGGAGAGTGAGCAGTTTGCGAAACGGGCCATCGAGTCGCTGGTGAAGAAGCTGAAGGACAAGAGAGATGAGCTGGATTCTTTAGTCACGGCTATTACCACCAGTGGGTCTCGCCCGTCAAAGTGTGTGACAATTCAGAGAACGCTGGATGGACGCTTGCAGGTACAGTTCTATGTACATGTTGTGTAGGAGAGAGAGAGAAAGAGAGGGAGGGAGGGAGGGGAGAGAGAGGGAGGGGGAAGGATGAATTTTGAAGGATGTTGCTGTTCAATTTTGTAATAAGGGAAACTTCTTAGTAAGGAAAATCATATTCAGAGGCGTCTCAAATTCTGCAGAACCAAGAGAGGTTGTCCCTATTATTCAGAGAGTCCAGATTTCACCTGTATAATATACAGCAGGTGTGTTAATTTTCACTGAGTTATGCTGATTAAGCACGTCCCAGTTCACGAGCCAACGCTGCAAAAGAGAAGCCAGTTGCACTGTCATTCATGCCTCAATTGCCAATCTCAAAACGTCTTTAGTAAGAGAATGGCACTTGTGTGTACACACACACACACACACACACACATTCGCTGCAGTTTTAACTGCTGCGTGACCCAACTGGTGGGGTTGGCATGGCAACGGGGAAGTCGCCCGACTCTCTATACAGGTTCCAGCTGTTGTCCTCAGAGACCGGACAATGGCGTGGGGTGATTGCGCAACAGTTGTCCGCGCTGCGACTCTGGGTACATATGGTGCCCGGGATAATGCCATTGTTTTGTGCTAGGCTCTATTGCAAGAGACAGTAGTAAGTGCCAGCTAATTTGGTTATTGGATAGCACTCTGCCAAAGAGTTTGCCAGAGTTGAGAGCGTTGTTTAGTGCTGTGACCCACTTTCTTAGCCTCTTCTCTTTTTTCACGCTCTTCATGATCTGTCTTGTTCTTCAAACACACTTTTCATTCTTTGTTGGGTAGAGATAACACACCTTTTCTGCCTTCCTTTGCTCCCTCTTTCCCCCTCTCTGCTTCCTCTCCCCTCCCTCTCCTTCTCCTTCTCTCCCCTCTCTCCCCTCTCTCCCCTTGTCCCTACAATTCCTACAGGTTGCTGGTCGGAAAGGGTTTCCACATGTGATCTATGCCAAGATATGGAGGTGGCCCGATCTCCACAAGAACGAACTGCGACATGCAAAGTTCTGTCAGTACGCCTTTGACCTCAAGTGTGACAGCGTCTGTGTCAACCCATATCACTATGAAAGAGTCGTTTCTCAAGGTACTTAATAATTTTAGTGTTTTTTTAGGTGGAGGATAAAGTTTTAGCTGTGAAAAAAGATGGAAAGAATATTGTTGGGATTTCAGTGAGAAATATTTTGTAAGTTGGAGAGAAAACTGTTGTGATTGCTGGTTTGGGGTTTCTTAAGAGAAGTTAATTTTCTCAGATTTGAGTGTATGTGTGTGTGTCACTTTCCTAATGTTGTCCTCAACCATTTGATGTCAATCATCGCTACCTGCGTTACCTCCTGCACATGTTTCCCAGCGTACAGGCTCGCAGTGCGTATGTTGGCAACATTTGAACTAGACGGCGTGTGGCGTCTAGGTGGCGCGTGCTTTTCGACGGGTGTCATGTTTTGGAGAGTTGTGCCTGTGTGAACTGCCACCTTCTAAAGCCGCTTCGTTTCTTTGACGCACAGGCATTCGTTCCAACCCTCGGCCTTTGCTGTGTGTATGTATGTATGTACCTGCGTATGTATTTGTCATTAGGACTTTGTCCTTTAGCCGCGCGTGGTAATTATGTATATACGCGGCCTTGTCTGTTGCAGTGGGGCAGACGCGAATGTACACACGTGTGTTTCATGAGCGGAACTTGCTATAATAGGGTACTGGTTGACTTGAGGGGCTTTGTGTGTTGTCTGAGTGGCTGTGTGTTGCCTGGACCATTGTAGTGTTTGGCCAAGCCTCGTAACTTTCTCACGATGGCTCTAGCTTCTCTCTCTCTCTCTCTCTCTCTCTCTCTCTCTCCCTCTCTCTCTCTCTCTCTCGTTTCTCCCTCTCCTCTTTCACACCAGGCCCCAGTTCCTCTGACATTTCTGGTTCAAATCTGGTACATCACGTCAGTAAGTTGTTACCTTGCAAACACTATATAGTATACTCTAGTATACTCCCACTGTTTTCTTGGATATTCCAGTATACTATCAGTAATCTTCTCTGTACAGCAGCTCCACCAATGTTATTGGAAGGAAAAGAGTTGGATAGAGTCGAGTGCATGCAGCAAGGTCCTCAGCAAATGCAAGGTCAGGATATTCTTGTATTCTTTCAGTATATCTTCAGTATCAGCAGCTCA